CTACTGTCAAGCAGAGTCCAAACAATGACACAGTAGTGAGTGTGATTCCCATTGCATCATAGTAGGAAAGAAACTCAATGTCTCTGAGGATGCAGCTGTCTTTTCCATCACTAGACCAGTAGTCCTGTGGACAGTTAATGCACTCAGCTGCACCTGAAGAGAAGTAAGGGGAAATTAGTGGTGTCAGTTTCAAAACATTGAAAAAAAGTACAATGAAACATTTAATTTTTACCATAATAACTCACAGCTATTTTATGTAGGTGTCATTTTGATATTCTTGTTTAACATTTCCCTTTTAACATTTCCAATCAGCAACACGTATGGTAAGATATTGGATAATTATGATTCTGTTCTACAATACACCGGGAGTAAACTCAAATTTGGCACCAAGACTTTTGATTTATTTCGTATATATTATGATACTACATTGTTCACAATCACAATTCATTTTAATTCTTCAATGTTCATTCTAATAAAAATTATCATGATAATGACCACTACAAGTTTAAGGGATCCATGTTTACCAATAAACTTATAATACTGGTCTTGTGGGAAGAAAGAAAAATACACGTCCAGATGAGCAAAAGTTCACAGGCATAGAGCCAAGCCATAAACTGATTTATGGCACTTTTTTATGATGTTTCATTTGTGAAAGTTAGAACAATGTTAAAATATGAGTATATTTACAGCTACATTCTTATTTTGGAGTATAGAACAAAATCAGTTTTTCAAGAAGCTGCATAAAATAGTATGACTTAGAATCATAGGTTCTTCCTATCCTAGTCAATGTAATAGATTGTAAATTAATACCTGTGGTGTTTGCTATGGTACCATCAGCACAAGGAATGCAATCGAAGCAGCAGATGGGCTGGCCTTTCCTGGCTGCTTTTCTTGTGCCTGGTGGGCAGCTCTCAGAACACACTCCTTTGGGAACCTACAGAGAGAAACAAAGTGGAATATACATCTTAAAAATTAAATTTTAATTTATTCAGATTAAGTGGAACATTTTAAATATGAACCATTGCATGAACATAATGCATGTTTTTATTGAAATGATAGCACTAAAATTAAATAAATTATATAATAGTAATTAAAAGAAATAAACACTGCATCTATCTTAAAACCATCATGTGAGCAACTGAAAATGTTATCTGAAATTGTGCTTACCTCTCTCCCAGTGCTCCAGACAATACTGTCCTCATCAATCACTAGCTGACTGCCTCCATCTGGTGATGTATCAAAGTGACCCACTGT